GATGTGGAACCCAAGGGACAGAGCTCAAGAAACTTGCTCAAGGCCAAACCTGGATTAAACACTCTGGCTATCTGACAATTAAGCATGTTCTTTTAACACCATTTTCCAGAAGCCGCTGGAAAAGAAGCTGAATTTAAGTAAAACGAAGAGAAACTACTATGGATAAAAAGCATCATTACGTAATGATAAGAAGGTTTAATTCACCAGAAGATATAACAATGATTAAGGGCTTAATCTGAAGGCAGATAAAGCTAAAATTAGAAAATATCAGGAAAGAATGGATGAATCAACATCCACAGTGAGATAGTATGATATGTTTTTCAACAACTGATATATCATGCAGCCAGAAAACATAGAGTAATACTATCAATAAGCTTGAGTTAAAAAATGTATAAAGGATCCTACAGCCCAGAGTTCAAGCACATACAAAACGGTAACAAAAATAAACCCAATTCAAGGCCACAAAACAAATTCTTACAAAGAAAAAAGAACATAAATATCATCTTATTTGATCACAGTACATTTAAACCACAACATTAAATTAGAGACCATTAGTAAATACAGTATATATCTATGGTTAACCTATGACAGAATGGCTTCTGGGAAGATGGTAAATATATTGACTAGGCAGAGGCAGGAGGCTTCTTCTGGGGTGCTGGAAACATTCCACATCTTGACCTGGGAAGTGGTTGCACTGAAGATCTGGCACTTTACTGTTTGTATGTATGTATGTAGAGGGAAAACTGAAGCTTAAGTGCTGCTTATTAGAAATACTAAAAATTAAGGAGTCGAGAATCTAACTCTAATAGTTAAAAAAAGTATAAACCTAATGACAGTAAAAGGATAGAGATTGGCAGCAAAAATTAATGGCACAGAAAACAGATACAGAGCACTGAGAATCAATTACCACCCAAAGCTGGTTCTTCATAAAGACGAACCAAAGTGGCAAACACACAAGCAAGACTGAGAAAGAGGGAAGGAAGAAAATAAAAATAATATTAGAAGTTAAAAGGAGGTCATAATGACAGACATAAAATGCTTCAAGAAATCATAAAAGAATGCTAAGAGAATTTTGCAACAATGAATTAGAAAATTTAGATCGCATCGGCAATGCCCTAAATATGACTTACCAAAACAGACTGAAAAATAACTAGAAAACTTGAATATGTCTATAATCATTAAAGAAACTAAACCAATATTTAAAATCAATATCCAAGATATCTGTATACACACACACGCGCACACACTAACATCTTAGTTCTGTCCACTGAGATGATGTAAAAGCAATGAGCCTAACTAGTGCACAGGTCCTCTAAGGCTCCTTGGAGAAAAGGATGATTCTAGAGTATAATAAAATGAATCTGGAAATGCTCAAATAATGATGGGGACATGTCAAAAGGACAGCTTGTAAAATAAAAACTGATAGAACTAAAAAGAGAAGTAGACAACTCCACAATTCGATGCCTCCCTCTCAACAATCAACAGAATCCCTAGACAGTACATTGGCGAAGATAGAATATTTGACCACCACAATCAACCAATAAGATCTAATTCTCTTTCTCTCTCTCTCTTACACACACACACACACGCTCTCCCCCCGCCCCACCCCCTTACTTTCTCCCCACTCGACAGCAAAAAACACATTTTTGAAGCATCCATGAACATTCGCCAAGACAGACAGTATCTGGGGGCATAAAATATACAACAAACTTAAAATAACGGTTACCATATGGAACTCATTCTCTGACTATAATGGAATCAAACTCAAAATCAATAACAGAAAGATACAAGGAAAATGCTCTAAGCATAAGAAAATTGAATAACAACCCGCCCCTGCCTCACAGGCTGCATCTGGGCACGATTCCACCCTCCGTCCATAGCAGAGGGGACTGACGGGGAGCCCTGCCCTTGATCAGCACAACCACACTGTGAACCCCCAAAGCTGGAAGAGACCTCGATGTGGAATGTGGGCAAGAGAGCTGGCAGAAGGACAGGTTAAGACTCGTGACACCACAGACTGAAGAAGAGAGTGGTCCAGACAGGGCAAATAGAGAAGCAGAGTGAAGGATCTTAGCAGGACAGCAGAGAGCAGGGGAGGTGACCAAGGGAGTCACAAGCTCCTAGATACCATGATATTTGGCAAGTACTCCCGTCACCATTCTCATTTAGTACCCTAACAACACCAAGCTGAGAAGAGCAGGAATCTGCCTCTATCCTGGGAAAGAGAAATGAGGGCCAGGGATGGCAATAGAGCTAAGCAGCAGGCCAGCCAGGCTCATACTCGCCTTGGGCCCCAGCCCAAGCTCTTGCCTTCAACCCCAAGGCACCTGTGCACCTTCCGAGTAAAGTGTGAGCCAGGCACAGTGCGCCTGCTGTCCACTATAAAACAGGTACGTTCACTCACGGTCGACATCAAAGTCCAGAAAGTAGAAAGCCACACTCACGAGAAGCACTGCTCCCTACGGCTCACCAGAGAAATCAGGTTCAAGGTGGCTTACTTCTTTTACACAGAAACGAAGACTTCTCGTAGCAGTTCTCAGCATGCCAGCTGTGCAGGTCGTGGTGGCGGAGGGTGGGGAAGTGGAAGCACTGGAGCTGGGCACAGAACATGTTGTCACTTTCTGACATTGCTGAGGCGAAGATGGGGTTTGGGGGAAGGAACACCTCTGAGGAACCTGTTGGTGAGACAAAAATGAGGGCTGGCCATTACAACATAATGTCAACATCCCAATCATGCTCAGTCTTCACAAGGACCGAGGCCCTCCCAAACTGACTATTAATCAAAGAGCTCATGGACTGCTAAGTCTTAGCTGTACTGCATTAAGGCATTCGTTCACTCATGACTTCCCTTAGCTCCTCTGAAAGTGGGTCTGGGCACCTGGACTACGGGGGGAGCTCCTGTGAAGCCGGGGAGGCAAGCACATGAACAAGTCATACGGGACCGAGAGCCAGGGGAGGACTGCCCTTTGCCGGGGACATTTAAAGGTAGAGCAACAACATGAAGACTGAGTGAAGTAATGGGTTGTAACACAGTGATGAGTTCATATGGATAAAATGAACAAATAAATAGAGGCAGGGACAGGAAGGTTCTCCCTTAAAACAGAGTATCAACTGATAAATGGAGAATGACTTGATGGTGCCCACCGCACCTGCTAGGAATACACAGTTCAGGCAGAATTGTGGCTCCCACACGTGCCAGGAGCACCAACTGGCAGGGTGAACTCTAGGAAAATGCTGGCTCTCTGGGACCCACCTCCAGCTCCAGGGAGACTCTTTGTCATCCTCTCAGCTCTTGCCTTCCAAGCTGGGGATGAGGTGATCAGAAATCACACTCCCTCGCAGCTCAGGGTGGGGATGTAGGGATGTTGGGGGAGAGGGCCGTGAACCTCGAAGCCTTTCGTCTAGGACCCAGGAATCTAATACAGCCTCCTAATCACTCTCCCTCTGACTGAACGAATATTGGCAAGCCCCAATCCTGGACACAGGTACTCAGGGCAGACTGGGAAACGACAGCGGGCAAAGATCCTTGCTCTGTGGAGCCAACATCTGAGTGGGGGTTGTAAAGGGCAGAGACAGATGATGAACAGAATAAGTGAAGTATACATGTCGGAAGCTCATGGCTGCTACAGCGAGAACAAAGCTGGAACATGGAGGTGAGGGCAGGCCTTGGAGCAGATATGGGAACAGAAGCTGGAGGGAGGGGGTGCAGCAACATTCCTGACACTGCTTGTGTTGGGGGTCCCACGCCATCCACAGGCTCACTGCTTTACTCAAGGGATCCCACATCTAGCCATAGTTATGGTTAAGATTTATTACAGAGACACAGCAAGATATATCAGGGAAAGGACAGCTCAGATGGAGTCTGGAGGAAGCCAGGCTTCCCTGGAGCTCGCCCTGCCTGAGGGAAGGTGCCAAGGAGTGGGCCTTTGCCAGCAGTGCTGCAACATGCGGCGTTTCCGCCCAGGGAAGCCTGGGTGTCAACCCCCTGCCCACCGTAATTCCAGGCCCGCCAAGGAAAGCAGGTGTTCACCATAAATCCTACTGTTCTTGCAGTCCTAGCAGAGCAGGCTCCACCTACTCCCCATCAGGTCCTAGACGCTAGCCAAGGGCAGGGCAGCTATGTTCCTTTCTTCTGCAGCAGAGTGCCCCCCCCGCCCCCAGCAGGGAAGCAGCAGCTCAGGGAGGGCTTCAGTGGGAGCAAAGGTGGCCCGAGGCAAGAGCATGTGGGAAGAGCAGGCACCCCTGTGGCTGGAGAGAAGGGCTAAGGGCGTGGTGGGAGTGGAGGGCAGAGCTGGAAAACCCACTGCAGGTCTCAGTGAGGACTGTGCCTTTGTGGGGGCGGAGGACCCTCAGGCAGCCATGTGAGGAGGATGGAGTGGGTGGGGGTGGGAGCAAAGAGACCAGGCTGATGGCGGTAGCTGAAGGTAATTTGAGTGACGTCGGATCTGGTAGCTGTCACCTGGGGACAAATGATGAGATTCTGGATATGTTTGAAAGGATGTAAGGTGTGAGAGGGGTTGGTTAGGGAGGGCCCGCATGTCTCTAGCTCTAGCAGATTCCTCTCCAGGGCCTGCCATTACTTCCTGACAAACTCTGCCATCAACGTCCTGCTCCACCTGAAGGACCTACATCTTGCAGGAAGGTATTGCAGTCATCCCAGGAGCCATGTAGGCATTGTGCCATCTCCCACCTGCAGACCCCTACTCATTTCTCTGCCTTTACCTCTCCTGCACACCCATCAGGCAGCCACTCCCACCTCCATGTCTCTGTCCCCTTGTTCCCTTGGCTTGGAAGAATCACTTCTCCCACTCCCGTCCCCAATGCAGGACCTCACCTTTCTATTTTGGTACTGTGGCACTCTTATGGTTCACCTTGCTCACTGGGGCCCACCAGGGGCCTGGGGATCCTCACAAATGCCCCATCCTAGAGGCGGCGACCTCATTCCCAGGGCCCCCTTCCCAAAGAGGAACTGCAGACTGATAGAGTCTAGCCTGACGGTCACCTACCCCAGGGGACACTGCCTCTGCCCTGCGCCTTCTAGCAGCTGCTAGGCCAGCCTGAGCCTGGTCCTTCTCCCCAATAGTCTCTTCTTTACTGCTGACAGAGGCTTCTAGATCTGAGGTCCCACAGGCAGGTCCTGGGTGGGTCAAGGGACACCAAAGGGCCACATCCTCCCAGCCCACCTGTGACAGGAATGTGCCCCTAGAGGTACATACACGAGACACAGAGCAGACAAGAAGGACAAAGTCGCCCAAACATATCTTAAATAAGCAAATAACACAACACGTGGACACATCACACAGCATGCTTCTGTTTTTATGTTTAAAATAAATACCAAGTGTAATAACCAGAAGCTGAAGTGACACAGTCACTTGGAGTCTTGTGGGAAAACATGGATGAGTCTCTAGGCAACATAGATCTGTTTTTTTCAAATTTGGGCCACACGTTATAAAAACGATGGCCCCGCATTCTCCATGGTGGCTGCTCCTGGTCTCTAGCTTGCCAGGTCCTGGCTGCAGTCACATCCTCAAGGTCTCACCCTGGGGCAGGGCCGATGGGCTGGCAGACAGGGGCCCAGAGGCAGAGCCTCCCACTTAAGGGAGAGGCCAGGGGACTGCGTTCCTGAAAGCCCTCGGGAGCCCTCTCCTGCTCAGTGCTCCAACTTAAAATGCACATGAGGAGTGCCTCATATGTGTTCACCAATAGTACCACTCACCTGCTACTATGCCAATACATACCACACGCATGCACAGGAAAATGTTGGACAAGATGTAGCTGAAATAAACATTTTAAACATTTTCCCATGGTAGCTTCATACTACTATTAGCTAACATTTTCAGGACAATCTTGTCTTAGGGAAGGGCTCATCATTACAGACCGAAGATTTAAACCCACTTCATGCCATCTTTGTGATACATCGAACCTCCCAGACCTGGCTGGATCGCATTTTGTACCACCAGGTCACATTCCTCCTAGAAGCAGGAGGGTGGGCTCTGCTATCCTCTTGTTTGCTGGGGGTTGTGTTCTCAGCATTCTTTTCACTCCGCAGTTTCTTAGCAGAAACCTTCGAAATACTTTTAATATGGAAACGTTCAAGTACACAGAGTAAACGAATGCCCTGTCTTCCATCCTGCAGTTTGGTTCATCCCTTCCCCCTCTCCCAGGGAGCTTTTCCTCCTGCAGACACTACACCCTACACACAAGTACTCATCTCCTAAAATCGTACAACCACAATACTATCGTCACGTCTAAGAAAATCAAGTCACTCTCTACTACAAACACATCTAATTCCCCTCACTGTTCCCGAGAAGTTTTTCGTAACTCCTCTCTCAATCTAGGATGCCATCAAGGTTCATGCGTTATATCTGGTTTTATGTTCCTTTAATGTCTTCAAATCTAGAACAACTCACAATGTTGAGCTATGTCAAGTGTCCAGGCCAGTTATAATGTATCTTTTTTAGCCACACATTCATTTTGTGGCCACTACTTAAAACCATAACAGAATTCCCAAGTCCATTTAAGCAGGCACAAGCAGCCAACCACACGCTGCACCATGCAGAACTGCTGGACGTCAGGGCCCCAGTGCACTGCCTGTGTGGGTGGCATGCCTTGGGGCCCCCTACACACTGAACCACCACTGCCAGTGTTGACACACTCATTTATCTTTTTCTAAATTTCAGGTCACGCTTCTCTTGCCTCCATGGGGCCACAGAGACAAGCATGCTCATTAGAGCTCACCTAAGGCCCTTCCATTCTCATACCACAGATAAGGGTACCACGCCCCTCCTAGCTCAGAACATGCTGTCATACCACGTAGACTGATGATTTCTCTTTTTAACTACCAGTATCAAGAAGATAACCATGTCCCGGAGTGTCTACACTGTCCTAAAGGCCAGCACCCTCCACTGGGGCCTGGGCTCTGGCCTAGGATTCATCTCTGACAGCTGTGATTAGGGCAGATGAAAAACTACTAGAAGAATTATCCTATGCAAGGCACACTGTGACACTGGGGCCTGGAAACCCAAAAGCCACTTCCATTTATTTGTCAACTACTCCTGTGGGAAATCTAAACAATACTCTTATGAACTTTGGGAATGTCGGTGGTGCTTTCAGTAGGACATTCGGAGGGTACAAGAATGGGGTAACATCTTAAAGCAGAAGCAGGGAACAGTGGGTAAGGCTCCCTCTGCTGGGGCTTCCGCGGTCTCTACCTACACAACCTGCCCCTTCCCAGGTGCCAGGCTCATCACCTCCTGCCCTGTGGGGCCCTGCCTCTCTCTAGGGAAACCAGCTGTCCAGGGTCCTGTTTCTTCTCAACACAGATCCTATCTGCACCTTCGCTCCCTCTGTGCAGAGACATAGCTGGTGACCACAAGGTCACCCAGGCTGGGGAAACAGGTGAGCTTTGCCTGAGCTTGATGCCCCTTCATTCTCTGCAGTGAGGTGACAGAGCAAGATGCCTCGGGTCCCTAGGCCCCCCACTCCTCACTTTTCTTTCTCAGAGACATTTAAGACATCAACAGCAGGACTGGGATATGTTTGGGGAAAAAGGACAGGACCCAAGCTCAAGTCAGACGCCCAAAGAGCAGCCCAATAGCTGAGGGCTGATGAGGGACAGGGCGAGGGAATGTGGCTTGGGTGACAAGTAGAGGGGGGCACATTCAGGGCCTGTGTGAAACCTGTGTTGGGGCAATGCGACTGGAGGGGAAGGACAGGCGGGCAGGAGCTCAGTGCCCATACCAGCCAGGCTTCCTTCACGCTACCTTGGCATTTCCAAGAACTAAGCATAAAACTCTAAAAGCGGCATGCTCACTCACACACACTCTCGCACACATACTCTCATTCACACATACACCCTCTCACACGTACTCAATCTATTTTAATTTTATCTGCCTGATAGCTTTCCTTCAAGCTTTGGATTCTAATTCTGGACTTCTCTGTCCTAGGAAGCTTGTCCTTCCCTCTCTGGTTCATGGTAGCTGCACAATTTGTATATTCATTTTGTACCCCAATTAAAGTCCTTAACTTTAAAAGGAGAATGAACGGTCTAGAAATCTGACTAAGTGATAAGCCCCAGCCCTGCACGGAGCCTAGAAGAGGGGTCTGGCCCCAGGGCGCCCACCCGTCATCAGAGCCCTTCTGTGAACTGGGGCCCATTCCTCTCCATGTTTTCACACCAGGCACCCCTATATGCCAGGAATTACAAATGAGAGGGAGTCGGGGAGACCCCGGCAACGTGCCCCCTAGTCAGGATGGTATATCCAGATTTCAAACTCAACAACCTTTTCGAAAAACCAGAAAGGCTTACTTTTGAATGCGACCTCCCAGTGGCCTTCTAAGGAGCGGTTCCGGCCAGTGATGACATACCGGTAGCCAACCCACAACCTGCAGGAGGACAGAAATGCAAGGACCTCAGCGCCACTGGCGGCAGGGAAGCAGCCACTGATTGTGCGTGAGTGTATCTTAATAATTACACTGTCCATTAAAGCACTGAACTTCTAAAGCATTAATGATTTTTTAAACTTTTGATACTTAATTGTAATAATAAAATGCATTAAAATTCTAAACAACTTCACAGGTCAGAAAAAGTTTTATCTTGGGAAACTCCTGCCAAGACTGTTCCTATTAGTTGATCCAATATGGCTTTCACGTTCTAAGCAAGGCTAACCCTGTTTGGGGTGGACACAGAGCCAGCTGAATATAACTCTGTGAATACACTAAAGGCACAGAATGGTATCCTCTAAAGGACTAAATTTTATGGTATATAAATTACACATTTCAATAAAAATCAAACCCATGATTATACTGTGCAGTGGTGGATATAACCATGTGCATGGCCTCCCACTGGGTCTCCAGATCAGAGCCAGCCTACCCATGCCTGCAGCTGCCCCCAAGGACATGTCACAGCACTGAGGGGGCCGTGCCTGAGGACCTGGCCGACAGTCAAGGCCACCTGCTGTGTGTGCGCCCCTCACCAGCCCAGCCCTGGAAATATTATCGGCAAGTCCACTGCCACAGAGGGTACCCTGGTACAGTGCCACTCTGCCCCGTCAGCCTACTACCATGCATGCCACCCACCCTGAGGAGATGGGTGCTTTCCTACCCACTGGGATGAGCCCTCTTGCTTCTCCATGGACTTGCAACCACTCTGTGGGCTAAGTGATATTTTTCTCACTTTGTAGCTGCAGAAGGAGAAATAGCACGGTCTCATGACTTGCCAGTGTTATGGTGTATGACAGTGGAGCCAAAACACAGCTCAGGTCTTAAAAGCTCTCTCCCACCTGACGCAGTCCATCGTGCTCCTGTGTCAGCATGATAGCCTGTACCATTGCTGCGAGGGGACACTGGCAATCTGGTGACCCCAGCAATTCACCCTCCTGCCCAGAGCAGTGTGGATGGGGCAGCATGAGCCTGCATACCACAAGCCTTGGCAAACACCTGTCTCCACAAGCTGGGGCCTGGGAGATGTTGGCAGTCAGCCAGTTTCCATACCTTTCCTCAATACTATATAGCCTTGGGGGTCAAGAGCCAGGCTTTGGAGCCAGACTGCTCAGGCTGGAACACAGGCATACCCCAGCTAGTGTGTGCCCATGGTCATGTGCTCACTCACCTGGGCCCCAGTCTTCTCGCCCACTGGCCTCCTGTGTTTCTGGGAAGACTAATGAGCAGGCCCCCAGAAGGCACTGAGCACAGGGCCTGGCAGAGCCCACTTTCTCAGAAGGAACTACCACCCACCTGCGTACCCCTCACGCTAGGCCCAGGATGGCCCATACCAAGCAGCCCCTCCTGACACAGTCCTGGTCCCCCGGAAGGTCAGCAACTAGAGCTGAACCCACAGAGGGAGGACCAACAAAAGGGAGTGGCCCAAGGTGACAAGGTAGCAGCCTGTCTCTACCCTTCTGAGAGCCCCACCCCATTATCAATACCCACTCTAAACCCCTGGATCTCCATTTGTTTCCAGTAGGAGGAGTTGTCCTCCTCCAGATATCAGCTGCTGACTATGCTTTAGGACTGGCCATGTGCTCAGTGGGCATTAGCCCGACCCCCAGATCCCTGGGTCTCCGACCTAGAACTTACTTGTGCTGGTCCTGCCAAGCAAAACTCCGCTCCGGCTGGTCCCATTCCTGGGCCAGAACAAAGTGTAGCTCCTGGTCGGTGGAGAAGGTGGCGAGGGAGCCGTTGACACGCTGGCAGGTCTGTGCGGCATCCCAGTAGTTCTCTCCACTCAGGTAAACTCTATAGCAGCTAGCCGTGCCTTCGTAGTGGTGCCATCCTGTCGGGCACTTCCCTAGGAAACATGAAGGACGGAAGGGGATTGTCCCCCCCGAATTAGGATCTTCATTCCAAAACGAAATTAGTTATGCTGCTCAGAAATCACCCTTGCGAAACAAGGAAAGTGAGGCTCAAGAGGAAAAGCTCTGCCTTTAAGACCATGTACTTTGTGTAATGCTCAAGTGTCTCTAAGACACAGATGCAACCTAAGGTACGACGATATTCAGTGATTCCTCCCATTTCTACAAGGTCTTTTAATTTACTTGGCAGTAAAGACTAGTTGCTGAATTCGTTCAGTAAAGTGGGTTTCTTTCTCTGATTAAGTCTGGTTGACAAGACAGCAGAACTCCCACACCGGCTCACTGCAAGGCCTGGCAGGACTGAGCAGGGAGGCTCCCCCCCTACATTGCCCTTGCTGCCCCAATATGCCAGCTCTCCAGCCACCCCGCCAGCAAGCCCACTGTTTCCCGAGCCTAGTCCTTGGCCCTCCTTTTCTGTTCACATGAGTGCTGGCCAGTACTCGCCTAAAACAAGCTCAAGAGATTAGAGCTGGAAGGGCTACTGAAATTGTAAGACCAACTCCTACTTCCCACAGATGAGAAAAAGAGGCCGAGGTGGTTCCACGGTGGGCAAAGGCCGAGTAGCCAGCTGGAGCCTGCGTCTCTGTTAGACAGGCCGGGCCAGACATCTCGCCAGGCAGATCCACCAGAAGGGTTGAAAAGGCCCCCATCCCAAATGGCCAGCCTTGGGTAAGGGCAACAGCTTGTTCTATAGAACCTAGAACTTTCAAATGCTGGGGTACTGCTTCTGAACTAATAGTACACTGATGAAGAGTAACAATCTTTAACAAAGTCAATTAACAAAATGCAATTTTTAAATATACAGTCTCTGGAACTAGTAAACTTCTTAAAGACTGATGCTTGTGTCTTTATTACTTAGAGCACATGTGTGTGTAACTTATGAACACAGGGACAGAGATTATGGGACAGGAAACTCTGGTCCCCGAGCCAGTGAGGCGTACCACAGCACTGCTACAACACAGCAGGACAGCATCACCTATCCACGGGGAGGGCCTGCTTACACAGGACGGAACACGCAGGAAGGCCTTCCCTGTAAACAGGAACCAGCCCTTAGGGATCACCGAGCAGGGGAGGGGAGATGCGCAGTGTGTGGCATGGGTGTGAAGGCAGGGGATCACGAGGTAGCCTTTGCTGTGTGTTTCTAAGCCTTCCTTCCACAATGTGTTCAACCTTCCATACCCCCTGTAGGTGGATTCTGTCCTGTATCTAGGTTAGAGCGGGGAGACACTGAGGTATGCAGCAGCCGACCATCTCGGCTGGGCGAGTAGCAGTGCGGGCTTCCATTCTGGTGCCTCACCCACATCCTGGGTCCAGAGGAAGCCCTCTGGGGACAGAAGACAGCGAGGGGGGGCAATGGAGGGAGGGAACATTAGTTTCTATTGGCTTATCTTTTTTTATCTTTTGAACTCTGTCTCATTATTCCCTAGGCACAAATATTACCTATTCAAAAGAAAGTAGGTAAGTGACCAAAGTGCATGGGACTAAGAGTTGTGAGTCCATGGGGCTGAGTCCTGGAGTCGCCTTATGTGACCTCTCAGAGGTGCAGTCTCCTCACCTGCTAAGCTTACACTATACCCCTGCAAGATTGTATGTGTCGAAGCCAAGCACAACGTCAGGGCTCAGCAGCCGGCTGACCCCACTACCTGGCTCGCAGTCCCCATCGGGGAACCAAGGCTTCTCACGAGGTTGGAGCTACGAGGAGCACTGGTGGCCTTGCAGGGTGCAAGCGGACCTCCAAGGTACTTCGCAGGGCTGAGCGTCTGTGAGGTGAGGACTAACGACCATCCAGCACTGAGGCCTAGGATTCCCTGTGTTTCTCGTGCAGCAGTGAGTATGCTCGTCATGCCTAAGCATGTCTGTTTGGCTGTGGTTTTTCTGCCTTTCGACTTTCCTTAATTTTGTTATGCTCCTTTAAAATCTTAATGTCACAGGGCATTCATTAAATACTCGATTTTTTTTTTTTTAAACTGAGGTAGAGACTTCCCACACCATCAGCTGTACCTAGTCTCTTGGAGCCTGTTTCCAGCTATGGTAGGGCCACTGGAGCCCAGCCCTGAGAGGTAGCCACCTCTTGAAAACAAGCAGTCTGGTTCCAGAGGCCAGGTTCATGTCAAGGCTTCACTACTCAGGGCCTGGATGGCTTTGCGCAGCCTCATTCACAAAGAAGGATGACAGTTCCCGACTGCCCTGAAGGGCCCTTTTAAAAGACACCCCACACACAACCAAGTGGGGCCTCAAGTCTTAGCTCATGAACAGGCAGGTCTGCAACTTACTGCTGAAGCGGACGGCCTGCGCCCCGTTCACCGCGTGGAAGTGCATAGGGTTGCCGCCTCGGGCCCTCCCCTGCCGCGGATCCACAGCCTCCTTCTCATGGTATGGACGAGACTCCCCGGTCACTTCTGAAAGCAAAATGAGAAGTGGGCTGTAAGCACCATCCCTACAGCAGCGCGGTCAGACTGACTACTTGTGGCTGGGAGGAACTTTCCAACATGCTACTGCTGACACAGCACGGGGTCAGCCTTTTCTGCTGAAAACCTCTCAGTAGGCTCTAGCCCCATGGGGATTCTTTCCAGAGCCCAGGTTGCCCTCCCACCCCCAGAATGCCTGAGAGTCTCCCCTGTTAGCACGAAGGGGGATCCACTGTGTGTGATCCCTTCTGAAATGCTTGGCACTGGGCCCGAGTCACCATCTGCCCACCTGCCTGCTGGTCCTTCTCACAGCCTCAAGGCCAGGGCCTCGGTACATTCCTGCCTGGTTCCCTGGCGCCCAGCACAGGCCCAAGTGTGTAGCAGGCCTCAATGCATGGTTGGAGGTATGAACAGGAAGCTGCTGGTCTAATGGTCATTTGTAGGTCAGTCCTTCCATGCTCTTTTCTGTGTTCAGATCCTCTGAGAGAGGAGAATGACTCTCTTCTCTCTCAGAGAAGAGAGAATTTCTTCAAGGCACAGAACAGGAGAGAGCCAGAGGCAATGTCCCTCCTGAGCCGCCCTCCTCCCCACTCTGCCTGCATGGGGGGCATCTTGGTGTATAGTGAAAAATACCTGGTGCAAGGTCAGGACAGTGACAAATTTGGTCTGCAGAGCCACACAAACAGAACCACAGACACATGAGCCTTGATGTGCCTGGCTGGCCTGAGGCAAAGGACACACGAAGTGGGCCTGGCTTAGCTTGGCAAGAGGGTGTGGCATGACATGGGAGGTGGAGGAACATGATGGATCAAGGTCAAGGGGTTGCGGGGTGGGGCAGCCTCCACTCTGGGGCTGGCAATTAGCCCCACTGACTAAGGCTTCTCCAACCGTCTGGTTCTGCTAGTATCACAGACTCTAACATTTTTATTTCATAAATAATCTATTTTTTCTCATAAGCTAACAAATATTCAATGTAAAGTATTTGAGAAATACTAAAGCTTGATAAGACAAAACATATTAACCATTATTACTATGTTAGGGTCCTCCCTTCCAGTCTTTTTTCTGCATAAATCCTTAAAAATATTTGGATCACACCAAACACTATTTTAGAATTTGCTTTGTAAGCTTAAGACTATAAACTTTGTAAGCTTAAGACTATATATTTTTAAATAGGCTTAAAAAGATCACTTTTAATGGCTGCACAGTATTCCATGAATGGATTTCTTTAATTACCACAATCTCCTACGATTCAAGTTTAGGTTGTTTCCATTCTTCCATTACTCTACGGAAGGTTGCACTGAAAGACTGGTACAGAAATCTGTGTGCTTCATTATTTCCTTCGGATACCCTAGGCAGTCACGAGCCCTAGCAGCTTGGTTCTCTCCCCCACTGAGTGTTCAGGAGAGTACTTCCAGCTCCTCTGCAGTCATGGTATAGGGATCAGATGCCATTAGATTGCGAATCCTTCTAAAATATAAAATGTGCTACCAGTGTCTGCAATAAGCTCAACGTAAAGCAAAGACTTCGAAGAAGCATCTTCGAGGTCTTTGGGGTGACCTTACCACCAACACAGCCATGTCATTTGCTGCTGACTCTGCAGAAGACGGCCTGTGGCTACAGCTACTCCCTTCTAACACCCAGCCCTAGGTGCCGGTGACACCAACTCTCTGGGACTGGGGTGCCCCATGCATATGTCCGGGCACCAATGTTCCCGGGAGGAGACTGGTGGCTCTGGAGCAGTGCTACACAGCCCTCCTCCACTCTTCCTGAGGCAGGCAGAGGATCAGGAAGATGCATACTGGCCTTCTGAGGGAGGGTGGACTTACAATTGGGAGATGAGGGAGGGGAACAAAAGGGCGTCCCGGCAGATGGCATAGCTTGGGCAAAGGCGGGCATGTCTGGGACAGGCTTGAGGACAAGCTTGGGTGTGGTGGAAGCTACGCCTAAATTCACATCTCCCTTCTGTCTGCTGAAACGAGCAAGACCTGTGATTCCACTTTGTGTCTTGGCCTCTTCCCCAGACCGAGCACAGCACCTGGTATATAACAGGCTGCAATGCTCACAGAAAGACAGATGGATCTAGGACAGAGACGGGAAGAGAAAGTAAAAGTAATAGAGCACTCTGCTGGGTTGCATGGGCACTGAACACCAGGTGGCCTAGATGCTGACTATGCTGGAATAAAGCCATCTGTGGCCTGGGGGGTGGGGGTGGGGGTGGGGCAACAGGTGAAATAGTTAAAGAAAAAAAGCCTAGTGGTGATGGAGGAAGCTCCTTTGTGCTGAGCAGGCTTCTCTGTGGTTCGGGTGGCAATTCTGAGCCCTTCTCTTTTCCATCATCTTTTTTCCTATCCAAACACCCACGTCCATCTCCTCATCATTCATCTATTCAGTGCCCATTATGAGCAACCACAGAAACCCACCAGGACAGACACGGGCCTTTGCCAGCAAGAAGGGGAAGGGCTTGGCTGAGAGGATGGTGCTGATGACAGATGAGGGATTCCTGAGTATGCTGGAAGAGCAGGAGACAGAGGCGGCTGGAGAAGAGGCAGAGCCTCCGACGATAAAGAATTTTCTTCTGAGACCCAGACAGCATTTTCCCCTTAGGGTCAGCTGGAGGGTGTGCAGTTATGCAGACACCCCAAAGCAACTTTCCCTCCTCCTCCATCCTCTCTCCATCTCAGTGTGCCAAGCACTGTCCTAGCCATGGGGAACAGCAGTGGGCAATGAACGAAACAACAGATGATCCTGGCCCCCCTTAGAAGTCACACCCTCCTCAGCCCTCCTTTTCCATCCAGCAACTGGTGGCCACTGAAATGGGCCAAGCCCAAGTGTGTAACACAACCCCAAGCTCCACCCCTAAAGTCTTGGAAAGAGTGCTTCTCCCTGAATCTAAGGCTGCTGTCTGTGCTCTTCTCTCTTTGGGTGTCCTTGCCAGGACTTCAGAGCAGCGCTAGCCACCAAAGACTGAATGGGAGCCAAGGAAGCAGATGTGAGACAAGGAGAAGCCAACATGAAGTAGCCAACATTACTACTGAAAAAGTGAGGAAAAGGGAAATGTTTTGCAGATAAGAAAGCAGGCTCAGAAATGTTGAGACTTGCTTCAGAGCAGAAGTGTAACACAGGGGAGGTGGACGCTCCTCTTCCAAGTCCACAAGACCTGAGCCACCCCCATCGCGTGGCCACCGAAGTCTGTCTCCGTCTGATCCCCTGGGCAGCTGCCTCCTCTCCTGGTCTCTCCTGGCCTCCAGCTCCTCTGGGGGCACCAGGCATGCCAGGGTTTCTGCTTTCCCAGACCAGGCCTCCGTGGAGACCTGGGGGGCTGCTGGAGAGCCTCAAATCCAACAGAAAAAATGAGTCAGGACAGGCAGTGGCATGCTTGCTTTCTAACAGGATTTGGAGGCAAATGAGGATTATATGCAATAAAAGACAAAATGTGAGTGATTCTAATTTGTTCTTCTAGAAATTTAAAATCTGTCCAACTATGGCTTAGGGTCTAGAGGAGCTTGTAATTTCTCCAAAGAAAAAAGAAGGTGAGACAGACTGGAGCCCCTTTAGCGCTACAAGGTGTCAGAACACACATCACTCTCCTACTTTATACCAAAACAGGTTTAGAACCAAGGTCAAAAATCGAATGTCAATAAGTCAAATAACACTTGCTCATTTACCAAAGCGGGATTTCTAACATCAGAGAGCCTAAAATATGAACTTCTTAATGGTATTTCCATCATGTCACGCATGTTCTTTAAATTGATTCCTTTCCCTCCCAACTAGGACCGGGGTGGCCTTACTAATGAGACGCTCACTGAAGAAGCTAAAGGTTTGCTTGTCCAATGACCATCACCTTTGACTCCATCTTACCAAGGTTTTGAGTCCTATGCTTCTGAAATACCAACACGAGCACTTTTGTTTCCCCATTTTACGTTCACGTGGACAATACATAATGAAACAATAACTACAAAAAGGTAGGCTTGTAAGCTCCAAATTCAAAACCTCCCTCCTTCCTGTTGCTCTTGGGTCCACGAATGTCTCAGGCACAAGTTCACAGAAGGAATGTCTTACCTTCTGCTGTTGCCTAAGACAGAAGGGGAAGCTACCAGACAGTCCTATGACACTCAAGCTGTGTCCTTGCATCTCAAAAAACCCACAGAGATATGGCAGAAGCAGAATGACCCGAGGAAGCCCCTTCATCTAAGGTCTTACTTCTTACATATGTATATCACAAGATGAAACGGAAAACCCTGCCTCCCCTTCTCCTAGCCCGCTTGCTCCTAATTTCCCAGAGACACCTGTTTTATTTACTTCTTCTGATATTTATGGCCATAATTCCAAATTGGTTTACATGGCTATTTCTAGTTTTATCCACTTTAAATGTTACCCAGTGACTTATGCTAGGGTAGGTGACGGTTTAACTCATATATACTCTTACTCACCTTCCCAACAGAGTAGAATAAATTTTGTAAAGTCAGTAGAATAATGTAATAATGTAAGTATTCTTCACTTGTGAGTCAAACAGCATACTAAAGTCATTTCAATTCTTGAACAATTTTGTTTTCTTCCTGGAGTTAATATTTGCATCGATTTTAAACTTTATTTGGTTTTCTGGCATATCTACCCATTTTTCTGAGCTGCTACAGCAGATAACAAAGGCTAGCAATAAAAATTTTAAACACTCAACCCTGCAACAGGGTCTCTCGGCTCCTTTGTTTCCTGGGAAGCTCCTCCTACGCCCCCCACCTTCCAGCGCCAGTGTGAGAGGGCTGCCCTCTGGGCTGGAGCCTGGCTGGGATCCTGGGGTCCATGTGTAGCCCAGCCGTCCTGTACCAGGATCCTGTTTCCCCGACCCCAGGCCATCTTCATTCTTGCTTTACCTTCTCCTTTTTCAAGATCCTATCTTCCTAAGAAAGGGTAGGGCAACTTTTTATGAGTTTGTCCATGTCTGAAAATTTCTTTATCCTCGGGCCCAAGTGGTTTCTCCAGGTATGAAAATCCCA